CAAATCCATGATTGTTCCTTAGCTTCCATGACACAGCTTTCTCTTGATAGTCCTACTTATATGGCGGTCTTTCTTGGTCTCTTTCGTTGGTTCCATATCATCTTGCCTCCTTAGCATAGGTGTCCCCAAAGGCACCATTCTTGGCCATCTTTTCACAGTTTACACTCCAATTCAATGGCTTAGATTATCACTTCTATGAAAATACTGCCAAACCTATGGATCTAACCCTAATCTCTTTCTTGAGTTCCAGCCCCCCATCTCTGCTTCCTGCTGAACATATCCACTCAGGCATCCCATCAGAACCTCAAATTCAATTTGCCGATATGTAATGCAAGTAAATATAAAATGTATCTATATAAATATTCATGTATGAATTATTGTATTATTTCTATATACTATATTATACAATTATGTTTAGAATTATATAATATAGTATATATAATTAATTAAATATGAAATAATTATATTCCTTCCCTAAAACCATTTCTCCTCTCTACTTCTCTATTTCTGATAGTATTACCATTATCCCCCAGGTTTATCTCACTGTCATGTTTTATTCTTCTCCCTATCCCACCTCTCACAACCAATCTATTGCTAAGTCTCATTGATTTTACTTTCACAGTATCTCTTGCAACTGTCCCTTCCCTTCTAATAACATCATTACCACCCTCTTTAGGCCCTCATCCTTTCTCACCTATAACATAACAGCCTCCTAACTGTACTTCTTACCTCCAAACTCTACTCTAGCTTTTGCACAGCTTCCAGAATGATTTTCCTAATGTACTTGTCTCACCTTGCTAATTCCCTGCTCGGAAATGAACTCCCTGTTGCATGCAAAATTAAATGCAAACATCTTAGCCTGATGTTTAAAACCATCAATAACTTGCTTCCAGTGTACATTTCCAGCCTCATTTCTCATTATTCACCTAGGCATAATCTTTGTTCCACCAAACTGCATTACTAGCTATTTCCTGATCTTATCCTGCCTTTTCCCATATCCATGCATTCACAAAAATGTTGCCCTTTGCTTAGACTTGTTTATATCCTTCACTTTAAGATCCAGATCAGATATTGCCTCTCATGTGAAATCTTCTTTTATTCTACCTATTGAAAGTGAATACTCCCTTCTCAGATTTATTATAACACTTTGTCTTGGATCTTTCTTTAATCAGTTAAAGTTTACTTTGTGTCATCTTTAGTTGTTTGCGTTCTCCATTACCCCTAATAATTTGTATGCCCTTTGAGGCCAGTAAGTGTGGTTTTTTCTTTAATATTTATATCCATCTGCAACTGATAATGTTGCCTCATACACAATTTGTACACATACTACATTGTTGAATTAAATTGAAGCTTTCTGTCTAAGCTAGTTTCCAGTGCTTTGTCAATTGTTTATGGAAAGTGCCGCAAAACCATTCTAGTCCAAACTATAGAAGCTGACTTTTGAGGGTTTTTGTTTGTTTGTTTGTTTTTTGTTTTTTGGCTAGGCAGTGGGGTTAAGTGATTTGCCCCCGGTCACACAGCTAGTAAGTGTTAAGTAGCTGAGGTCAGATTTGAACTTGGGTCTTCCTAACTCCAGGGCCAGGTGATCTATCCACTGTACCACCTAGCTGCCCCCTAGCGGCTGACTTTTATCTAGCACTTTGGGGTATACAAAGTAATCTGTGTATTGTCACATTTGATCACAACCCTCAGAATCAGGTAGTTCAAATTTTGTTATTCTAATTTTGTAGATCAGAAAGCTGAGGTTCACAGAGCTTTGGTCATTTTCCTAAAGCTTTTCATTGATATCAATTGCTGCATGAGAGAGTGGGTACTCTACCACCATTGCTTGTAAGCACCTGCCTTCTGTGTTTAAATTCAATAGTGCTGGGTTTTGAGGCCTGTCTGAATGCTCAGTGATCTCAACTTCTGTCTTTCATTTTCTTTTCAAGAGTTCTGCAGTAGCTAAAAATCGAAGTGAAGAGAACAGTGACCTTCCAGCCCTTACCACTCTTCCTTCATTCCCAGTTCTGTTCCTTTTAAAGGGAACTGAACTTCTAATCTCTCAGGGCTGTTAGTGATTTTTTTTCTACAAATAATAGGAGTAATTAACCAACTTATTTAAATTCTCTCTGGACCACACACCACATACTGATTTATATGCTATGTTACATTGTGTTCTGTATGTTTCATGTTTCATCTTTCCTGATAAGTGGGTAATAAGCTCCATAATTGTAGAACCTCTATCTTTTGTTTCTTTTGTTTCTGCCCACCCCCAGAGTACACAGCAGAATTCTACAAGACACACATTGAGGTGCATTTTACATATTTAAATTCATTTAAAAAATTAGGTACACCATTTTATGGCTACTACGTTTCATAGTCATAAAAGTTTGTGGGCCATACCATTGCTCTGAGCATCCCTGGTCTAGAGCTGAGTGATGTAATAGTGCTAAAGCTATAAGGAAAATCAAAAGAAATGGGACTTGTAGTGGGCAAGCATCTACAAATTCTTTTCAAAGTAAGAAAAGTCTTGCAAATTTTGCATGCTATCCAGCTCAGATTTCCTGAACAATTATCTAGTGGTACGCTAATAAATATTTAATAACTGGCTGTATGTAGGTAGGTGGTGGGGGTAGGGGGAAGCAAGGAAATGGAAAATGTACACAGGACACATCTTTAAGGTCAATATCCGTTATTAACATTTTCTGTATAAGTCTAGATAATTAACAAATTAAGGTCCTGACTTGTAGCATTTGCCAGTTTCGAAGGTATAATAAATGCTCACACTAAAATTGTAATTATTAGCTCTCCCACTAATTCAGAGTAGCTCCAACATACCCCTGAGTTTACCTTTCATTAAATAAAATTTGAAGCTAGGACTAAAAAATGAAGTATGGATTATGTTGTAAAAAAATCCTTTCCTATAGGTTAGATATCATTAAAAGAGAGAGAGCTTTCAGAGCTGCCTTCTATGTATCAATGAGGATGTGCAAAGTATTTTTCAAAGGACAATTAGAATCTTCCTAAGAGTCCTACAATAGAGGATAGTATTATTTTCCCCATCCTCTTGGATAGACCAAAACCAGTGACAAAGCATTAGCACTAGGGGTGAAAAACTTCATCTTTACAAAATCTGCATTGTATCATCAGAGATCTAACCAAAGCTAATACCTGTAACTGAAGATATTAGAAGGAGAAAATTACTACCTCCCGGGTCTCACATTGAAAAGTTTAAAGACTTGGCAAGTATTTTCCCTATGTATACTTGAGACATTAGGGGGGGAAATGTGTGCACATTCGTGTGTGTGTGTGTGTGTGTGTGTGTGTCTTCCCAGTATGTCCTAAAATCAATTAGTTCATACGTTAAAAGTATGAAATATTCTAATGAAAATGGCTTGTGAGAAATTCATGGAAATGCTTAAATTTGTGTTTGTAATTGAAATTATAATATATTAATTGTATCTCTACTCCATAATTTTTATAGGTGAATACTGGCTGACATGGACTTTTCATTTGTAACTATCTTTAGTAACTTTGTAGCAGTGAGATTTAATGAAGTTTTTGTTGGCATTCAGTGAAAGGAAATAGTTTGTGTTTTTAAAAATTTGAGTAATCTCAGATAGAAAGTTAACTCAGCCTCATTTGAGAGTTATGGTCAGAACATCTGATATTGACTTTATATAAAAAGTCGTCTTCTTTCTATTCACAAACTGTATATGCCATGTTTACCTCATTTTCTTTTCTAAAGTGTATGTATATGTGTATGTGCACATACACGCAAACACACACATATACATCTAAGCATATGTATATATGTGAGAGGAAATATTATTTTACTATTGTATTAATAACCAATTATTAAAGTAGGATCCAGGCTTTTCTACTTTATTTCCTCACTTAGGATCCAACTCCAGCAAAAAGCCAGTCTTTCAAGGATGTGATTGATTGATGAGATTGTCCTAGCCCTCAAGGAACATGTTCTTCTACAGGGGTGGGGAACCTGTGGCCTCGAGGCCACATGTGGCCCTCTAGGTCCTAAAGTGTGGCTGTTTGACTGAATTCTTTGGATTCACATGTGAATCCAAATTCTTCTATTTTGGACAAGACCCCACCCAACTAGGATATCTTACTTTTGTTTAGATATAAACAGAATCCAGTCTGCACTAGTTCTTACCCTGAAGAGAAGAGCCTTGTACCTGACCTTGTACCCTTCCATCAGAGTTTATGGTGACCTAGCTCAGGAAGGAGAAAATCAACCAGGGTGGTCTGGATAGAGATGTATTCTCCTTTCCAGATTGCTGGCAGTGGCTAAGTCTCATGATCAAGCCATGTTCTCAGCAGGAGGAGCCAAAGACTTCTATCCCACCTCCTCATTACATGTCTACCAATCAGGGTTGATTTTCAGTTGTCAAGGGAATTCTCTTTCAAGGATTATTTGAGGCTTTCAGCCTCTCCATGTCTTTTGTAAGAAAAACCACTGACCATCAATTTATTGATTGCCAGCTAGCTTAATAAAATTGATTATTAATTACTCAGAAACTGTCTCTCAGGGTTTTTCATTTGTCACATGTATATATTGGAATATGCTTACATATACATATATACATATACATAGACATAGACATGTACATGGACTGTTTCTGTTTATATTGGGGAGGAGGCCTCTTTTGGTTTGGATCTATGATTTTTCCTATGTGTAAATTTTCTGCACTTACAATCATGGGGACTAGTCTGTAAATTTTATTCTTAGAGTATTGCCTGGTTTACCGAGATGCTAAATGACTTGTCGGTCACTCAACTGTATGTGTCAGTGGCAAAAGTTGAACTCAGTTCTTCCTGACCATCATGCATGGTATCATATGTGTATGTGTATATCTGTACATATGTCAGATAAGTGATTATGTGGAGTAATAACTAAAGTTTAGCAAAACAATAGCATGTTTAAAAATTGTTTTAAATGTAAATGCGCTTTAATTGATGTTCTCTGATGTGCACCAATTTTTCTTCTAATGTTTTAGCCAAGCTAAAGCCATGTATTCCTGTAAAGCTGAGCACAGTCATGAACTCTCCTTCCCACAAGGGGCAATATTTTCCAATGGTAAGCAATATATTTAATTCTGTTCAGTTCAACATATTTTCATTGAATTTGTCTATTCACATATTTTTCCCAGACTACAAGCTCTAGGAGGGTAGAGTCCATGTCTGCAATAGTGTTTTGCTTTCCTCCTTTCCCTGCCCCTTACCTAGCCCAGTGCTCCACACACAAATAAATGATTTTTGATTGTTGGTTTTGATGATTGTATTTAAGATAAAGAATCCAGTGGGACGGAGTGAAAAGATACCTTAGTGGGAGTCAGGTGACCTGATTTTAGTTCCATGTCCACCATTAACTAGACGTATGAGCTTGGGCAAATCACTTAACACCCCTCCCCCAAGATTTAGCTGCTTCTTTAGGAAAATGAAATTGGTAGATTCAACTTGGAGGGAAGTTTGTACTGAAATGCTCATGAGACCTGCCATTGACCCTATGCTCTTCAACCCTTTTATAAGTGACTTCAATGAAGGCATAGATTATAATAGCTAGCATTTATAGAGCATTTTTTGTATCTCGTATATATGTATGTGTATATACATATACACATATAAAAATATATAATACGTGTGTGTGTGTTTATTACTGAGTATTGTCTCATTTTATCTTCACGGCACTGGAAATCAGTTGCTATTATTTTTCACATTTTACAGATGAGGAAACTGAGGCAGACATAGGTTAAATGACTTGCCCTGGGTCACATGGTCAGTAAGGATTTGAGGAGAGATTTGAACTCAGGACTTCTGACACCAAGCCCAGCTGTTTCTGTATGGATAGGTGGCAGATGACACAAAGCTAAAAGGGGTAATTAATATTTTAGGTGACAGGTTCCAAAAAAGATTGTGACAGATTATATCATTGGACTGAATCTAATAATGTGAACATGAAAGAGATATATAAGCAGCAGAGATCTTAGCAGGAGCAGGAGAAATGGTGATACCTACCCCTTCCATCTTCTAACTTTCCTGAGATGCAAATCCCACGTTTGGAAGTCCCAGTAGAGCAGATGCTCAATATCAGATGTTCTGACTATAACTCTCAAATGAGGCTCTTGAATTAACTTTCCATCTGAGATTACTCAAATTTTTAAAAACACAAACTATTTCCTTTCACTGAATGCCAACAAAAACTTCATTAAATCTCATTGCTACAAAGTTACTAAAGAGAGTTACAAATGAAAAGTCCATGTTAGCCAGTATTCATGCCATCCCCCCAACTTGTCCTCCACTAGCACCTTCCTTTCTTCCCCTCCCAGATGGAAACTGACCTCCCATCACCACTACCAAGGAAAAGAACCTTGATCCCCTTCTCTACTCCAGCCCTCTGTGGGACAAGTAGGATATGACCATTAATATTGCTTGAATGGGTAGAGAGTCAACAACTGTAATCCTTCCAGTCAGATAGAGGACCAGCAGATCTTCCTATGTAGCCTGCTGCTGCACTCTCTGGCTACGTGGGCTTTACTGTCTGACCTGTAGCTGCACCCAAGAGCTACCAGAGCTTTCTATCTCACTTATAGCTGCACTCCTTTCTCTGTGTTATCCCTTCCAATTAGAATGTAGCTCCTTGACAGACAGGAGGGACAGTCTTATTTTATTAATTGCATCTCCAGTACTTAACATAGTGCCTGGAACATAGTAAGCACTTAAGAAATGCTTTTCCATTTTTTCATCTGCTATCATTGAAGTAAAATAAAGTTAAGTAAGCTGATAGTCTATTCAAATGACTGGTTTTTGACAAAAACCTTGGGTTTAATAAATCAACTTGACAAGTTCTGTGTTGGGAATGGCTAGCTAGCAATTTATCTAAAAAAGATATGGAAATTTTAAAGTACTATTAGTTCAAGATCATTTAGCAAGCATTTATTAAGTGCCTTCTGTATATGAGGCACTGTGACAGGCACTGGGGATACAAAGACAAAACTAAAACAATCTTTACCCTCAAGTAGATTATATTTTATCAGGGAAGTGCATATGTGTGTGTGTGTATGTATACATATGGTATGTATACATATGCATATTATATACCTATGTGCATATATATGAATACGCAAAATTAATATAAGGCAGTTGGGGGGTTAAGGGAGGCACTTGGAAACTGGTGGGATCAGAAAAGTTTTCATGTAAAAAAAGTGATATTGCAGTCAAAAAAGCTAATGCAATATTAGCCTAAGAGAGTCATAATCCAGTGTTCAAGAGGTGACCATCTCACTGTAGTTTTTCTGGTCAGACGCATCCCCACTCCACTGCTGGGGGAATATTTTATTGAGTTCTATGCACCACATTTTAGGAAGTGCATTGATAAGCCGGAGGGTGTCCGGGGTAGGGTGATCAGGGCACTTAAAGGGCATCAAGATTAAGCAGCACAGGGATCAGTTGTTGAGTGAACTGTAGATGTTTAGCCTGGAAAACAGACATGATTCCCTTCTATAAGTATCTGAAAGGCTGTCATGGGGAAGAGGGATTCGTTTTCTTGTCCTTGGCCCCAGAGGACAGAACTGAGAACACTGGGGGGACACAGCAAGAAGCCGGTTCCCCCTTACTGGAATGAAGACCAAGGCTCTCCAGAAGGGGACTGAGCTGCCCTGGATACAGTTGGGCTGCCTTTACTAGAAGCCTCCAAGCAGGAATTAGATGACCACCGACCGGTTGGACATGTTGTCAGGGAGATTCTCAATCAAGTTTGGGTTTCCCTAGATGGGCTGTGAAATGCCTTCCAATGCTGAGAGTCCATTTCATTCTTCACTGATTCTCCTTGAGGCCCCTCTCAACTCTGATTAGCCCATGACATGATGGTCAGTTTGAAAATGTCCCAAAACCGGATAGGGATTTAAATGCTTTCTCCCAGATAATGACTGATTGTAAATTGTACTGTGTTTGTCTTTGCTTTGCAGTCTACCCATCAGTGGAACCTGGATGGTTAAAAGCAACTTATGAAGGCAAAACAGGACTAGTTCCAGAAAATTATGTTGTCTTCCTCTAATTTGAGTTAGTGGATGGCAGTATCTTCATGGTATCCATGGTAACAAGAATAATAATAATAAGTGCTATGATTTTATCTGACACAGATACGGGGATCAGCCCACTCGATGAAAATGGTCGATTTCTGTCAAGTTCTTTACTGGCAGTTTGTACAGCTCCCCTGTCATTGAAACAAAATGGATTTAAATCGTTGGCCTGTCTTTTCAAACTAGCACTCTATTTAAATGACTTGCTTTTTGATCAAGAGAAACCATGTACCTTTTTAAAAAAAAAAAAAGCAAACATAACAATGGCAGAATTGGAAATAGAAATACTGATTTGGTCATCCAGTTCAGGCAACTTATAGCCCAAGAAACTGCTACAAGATTTTTGGGAGTCCTGACCAAATATATTCATCCCTAACCCACTGCTCCCTGAAGTATCTAGAAATCATGTGTCATAATATAATTTAAATTGTATATTTTTTTCCCTTTGAAAAAAAAGTTATTGAGTTTACTTTTCTTTGTACTTCAATTTTTGCTGGTCCTTAACATTTCAAGGAAATAGATTTGCAACATCACTTTATGTTTATTTGTTATCTGAGGAGATGATAATGTTCATATGCAATAATGTGTGTTGTCTATGTAAATGAGGCCAAATTAGGTTATACACTGATTAAACCTTAACCCATCCAGAATGTGATTATTCTCTCCCAACAGCTTCTTATTTTTATCTATTTTACTACCAAAAGACCCTTGAGAATAGGGACTTTGTCTTATTTATCTTGGAATTTATCTTAGTGTGTTGCACGTAGTAGGCACTCAATAAATTTTTCTTAATGGATATTTCCTTTACTTCTAGATTTTTATCCCTTTGTATAAATATAATTATAAAAAATTTATTTATATCTTGCTTGAGGTATGATACGGGCTCTTCACAGAAACAATTCTGAAGCCAATAAAACACCAATTATATGTGAATACACAATATAAGTCAATTATATATGAACACACAATGTAAAAACACAGACCCAGATGCCACATAACATTACTACAAGATTTCAAAATGCCTTATGACTATTGGAGTTATTTTTTCTGAGTTTTTTTCTACAGATGACACAGGTCTTCTGTGAAGACATTAGATGGGCAAGCTATATATTCTAAAGATTATACTGAACTGAAAAAGAAATATAAAGCTGTATACTGTTTAAATTGGGTTATCTTAGCTTCTTCCATCTCTCTTGGACTAGAGTAATATCTGGGGCTTGGTAATCTTTCCTATCATTTTGTTTGTAAGCTTTATTTTCTTGAGGATTGTATTGAATTGTCAATGAGTACAAATTAGAAAGGAAACTATTGGCTTATCAAGTTTAGCATTAGATATCTAGCACCTTATGAAGCATACAATTGCCTCTTGTTTTGCAGAAATGGTTGTCCTTGCTGACAGCTATATGTTGGTTCTTAGAGCTCTTCTCTTCACTATGGAGAGATATCTCAAGGATCCTTCTACCCAGCTGACTCATGGAAGCAGGGAATAAGGCCATGACCCCAGTCAAGCTTGGTGGATTTGCCCTGTTGTTTTGCTGGCAATATCAATACTTCCCACAGGCAAAGATAATAAGGTGTTGACTGTGTGGGTCTCACTGTGTATTATAATTGGTGATCTCGGTCTGTTGTAAAGTGACTTTCCTAAGGCAAACAGGATAAAATATACTCAACTGCAGAAAAGCTATGCCAAAAAGTACTTAGACTTTTAAAGTTAAAAATGGAATAAAGGTTTAGAATTGAAAAGAGAGAAAGAGACAAACAGGAGACAAAATATTCATGGCTGGAAAACAAATATGTCTGGTAAAAGATGAATGCCACAGACAGAATGGTTTTATAATATTACAAGAATCAGTGCTGGCAGTGTTTTATAAAACAAATAATTGCTGAGACATCATGGGACTAGGAGTCAGAAGACCTAGCTTCTAATCCTGGTTCTGAGTTGTCTTACATTGGGGAACGTAAGCATTTGAACCCCTCTGGGACTTTGTTACCTCATTTGTAAAATGATAAAATCCCTTTTTGCACTAAATCCTGCATCTTGTTTAATAACACTAACATCAGCATTAATAACATTATATTCCTTGTAAGGAATCCATGTAAGTACATGAATACCATTTGGGTTCATTTGCTCATTTGCCTATAGCCTCTTGCTAACCATGCAGGGACTCTTAACTCTGTGTTACTGACATCTACTGTTGCTCTGTCTGCCCTATATCAAGTTTTTCCTTATAGCACCTTTCTGATGAGAGCAGCGTTTGTAATGTATTCTTTGCTCATTTTCTGGAATAATAATTTCAATAACAATTATAATTATTTCCCTGTGTATTAAATATCTTACCAGAATCATGACCTGAATCAAAAGTTTTAATCCTAGTGATATTCTTGCATGTTTATGATATACTTTAGTCATGCATGACATACTTACATTTTATAGCCCTTCCTTCATTTGCCAAAACCTAGTCTTGGGTTTTCTCTTTTGTTTCACTTAAAAGTAACGTGTGAAAATCTTTTTTGAACATACATTTCCCATAATGTAAGAAAATCTCTTTGAGTGGGTTAGTTCCCCCCCCCAAAAGGCCATCTTTCCTTTAATAAGAGACTCAGAACTGAAATGTGTCTGTTGCTCAGTCAAGAAATCTCAGCCTACTTTTGATTTTAAACACAAACCAAATGTCATCATATTCAAATTCATTGTAATATAATTGCAGTGTAGTATGGCTTAATGGGTCATTTTTGAACTTGGTTTGTATGAGGGTCACTATACTACCAGGCAAAAGGTTGCAGCTAGGTTTCTTTCTTGCTAATGGAGTTTTTGCTACTCTTATTTCTCTGTACATTTTTCTAACTATTTTATAGACATAATGTGCTTATTCATAATATGCCACACCTTAGAGATTTCAACCTTGTTGCTTTGTCCCAGCAGTTGAACTTTCTTCATCTTTATTGCTCACAAAATCAGACCTATTTTCCAAAGCTGTGTTGTAAGAGACTAAAGTGTCTTAAGAGCAAGTCTACATGTATTGTATGACTCTGAATATCAGGGAAATCTGAAAATTATAGAACAAGAAATAGTAATATGGAGGCAGCCAGGCGTAGAGTAACCTTGAAGTCTGGAATACCTGGTTTCAGGTCCTGCCTCTTGACACATAGTGGCCACCTAACCACAGGTGCATCTCTTAACCTCCATGTCTCAGTCAACTTTCTGACTGTAAGTTATAGCTGCCAATATACATGTTTGGGGAGTTTTCCCCAGAGTTCCCTATAATGATAAAATTGGAGTTCCCTATACCAGTGGGTTCCCTACACTAGAAACAGGGTTATATGTACATAACAATCCCCTTGGGCTGCTTACTGACTTAGAAAAACACATTATCTATGTTCTATTGCCTTTTTATTTTGTTGAAAACATCCCAATTACATTTTAATCTGGTTGAGCTGCACTCAGGAGTATTATGGGACATGTGGGTGACACCTCCGCCCTATACCAATGAAGTAATGGATCTGGACCAGTGATAATGTAGTGGCAAAATTGATGATCCAGGAAGTAATTTTAATAGAATTTGAAAAACATCTCACTTATAAGCAGAGGCAGTATGTGACTACAATAAAATTGTATTTTTCAGTTTTTGTAAATGCTTTGTGGTTTAACCATAACAACTATTGGTTGCCTAGTAATCAGTGTGAAATTGGCATGTGTTATATATTATGATAACTCATTTATGACATGTGAAAAGTGTGTCTATGCAAACTGTGTATCTTTCCTACATGTAGCTGTTTTTCTTATGTCACTACACCCTGAAAGTGTAATTCAGTAGAACTAACAAGTAGTCCAAAATATTACTGTATTTTGTGAAAGAAGAATGTCCAAAGTCAGTCTTATCTTTGCCTAGAGTCTTATCTTTAGCCAAAAGATAGCTGACTGCTTTCTCTGCGAGTTTGTTGCAAGTGTTTTTGTTCCTTAGGTATGCCCTGTCTGACTGTTCTGTGTTCCTAGAAGTGAAATGGTTATCATTAACCAAATTAGATTTCTTGATAGTCTGTATCCTTTCTTATCTGGTTCCTACTGTTTTCTTATCCTATCCCTACCCCTTTGTAGAAGCCAGGGAGAAAAATACTCACCATTAATCCCTCTTAAACTAAAGAAAATAAAGATACTATATGTTTTTTTTTCTTATATTATAGACTATTATTTAATTTCAGATATTTAAGTTTTAGAGAAATACTAGTGTTATCCCTGAAAGCCATCCTTTTACTTCTGTGACACACTCCCCCTCTATAGTGTTCATGGTGCTTGGTGACAAAGACATAGAACTCTGACTATGGGTGTAACCTCAGAATGATTTTACAGAATGCATGGCCCCAAAAGTATCTAATCACATAATTATATTTTATCGGCACAGAAGCTGTAGAACCCAATTCTTATCTGTAGACAGTATACATTTACTTTTGGTACTTTGGTTTCACAACTATATTTGAAACTTACCTATGGTAACCATAAACTGACTTTTAGATGGATGGTTCCTCAAACCATAAGTCTCCCCAAATGAATTCATACTCATCTTTAAAAAAAAACAAACAAGCGTCTAGACTTTTCTATTAAAGACATATAACAAGGCCCAGGCACATTAAGTGATTGATGTGCACTAATGTCCAAATCAGTGGTACCTGGTACCTGTGACCACATTCCTTGTGGACATTAACCATTGCACACCTGACCTAATCACTACATGAAACGTCCTAATACTGAAAACAATGGATTTTCTTTGCTAGTAGCTTCACAAGAACCTATGAACATTCAGATATACACAAGAGCTTTTGAAGAAAACATCATTATGGCTGTTTTTATACAAGGTTGTTAGATGTTCTTTTCTCTCTGTCTCTCTCTGTCTCTCTCTCTCTCAGTAAATTATGCCAAAATTAATATGTTAGGGGCATTATCTCAGAATGAAAGGCAGAAATGATTTGAACAACTTAGCCAAATCTTTGAAAGCCATTTTGTGGAAAATTTCTTCCAAACACACACACACACACACACACACACATACATACATACATACATACATACATACATACATACACACACACACATATGATTAGAGCACAACAATGACCAATTTTCCTTGCCCCTCTTTGAGGTTAGTTTTGTATGACTAATATCTTGAGCTGCAGAGAAAAATGCAGGTTGCGCTTGTACCAACGTGTTTCGAACAACAGGTAATTTTCTATTCTAAGTATCTAATCGTTTCTCTCCTCCTAGCAGTTGCTGCAAAAGGATTTTCATTTCAATGAATTTATTCTTTCTATAGTGTGAGCCACTGCAGCTATTAAAAGCCACCTATATTGTAGCTGAGTTAGACATCTCCCTTCTCCTTTTGACTTCATTGGCAAACTTTGGGCAGTTACATAACAGAAATCATAGTTGCCTTTGTTTCTAAAAGAGGCTTTCCCTTTGAGTTATAAAGAGAGCTCAATTTTGCTTTATAGTTTTTAATGTCCCCCAAATTAATGGGATTTCCCCCGTATGTGGCCCCATGTCAGGGGTTATATATCTACTTTTTCTATCTTCCACAGTGCTTCCTCCCTAATTGAACGTACCACACCAACTTCCACAGATTGTCATAATACTTCCTGCACATTATACTCGGGGTCAGCAGT